GAAAAAGATACCCAGTGACAGAGAAAGGACATTGAATTTGAAGGATTAGTGTAAAACAAGAAGTCTATGAATATTCATTAAATGTTGTATAATGTACTAGTTTCAGCCACCTTGAAACTCTTTGTTCGCTTCCTGCGAACAACAAACGATAGACTTATTCACAGAAGTCTTAATGGGAGGCAATTTTCAAAGGCACGTTCACAAATGTTTGTGGGAAACAGATGTTAAATACACCCGCTCCAGAAATCATGCTGAAATTTTGGCACACTCATTCAGTGAGGGAGCAGGAATAGACCCAGGTGACTTACTTGATCACTCACAGCTAAGCAATGGGTTCAGAATAGCTGTGAGTACTCCAAAATAATTTGGGAAGGTTGAATTATTTACTTACGATGCCTAGCAACCCTTTTTGAATATTGGACCCTTATGGCATAAGGTGGTGTTTGAATAGTTAAAGGCTACCCGTTCCCCACAGGCCTCTCAGTGTGGACTTTTGACTGTACAAGACAGGTGAAAAAAAAACAACTGAGAAAGTGGCAGAACAAAACAACAACCAGACAAGCATGGTTTCCATTTTAATCTGTAGCCTCACTTTACCTTTGCCTAGCAGAAGACTGTAATTCGTTTTGCACGTGGAAGTTAAAAGGATATATTTATTGAGAAAAATTGTTCTAGTGTCAGTCTGCACCCTGGTCTTCGCTAGCTTATCTAATGCCTTTTGTTTGAGAATCCGAGAGCAGGCAGTACTGTAGCTTTGCTGTTCCTCTGTGTCTCTGTTTCACAGACAGTGAAAATGAGGTACAGGGAGAGGAAACAGGCTGCTCAACTTCGCATGAGAAGTGGTTGGAAAGATGAGGAATAGAGCCCCATGTTCTCAGGCCATTGCTTTTAATGACTGGGCTCTGCTTCCCAAACACGCGTTCCATCTCTGTTCCTCTGCCTTTTTCATTTTCCCAGTAAATGGGCTGTAAAGTCACAGCAGATTAAAGTTTGTCTAAACTTCCTATAAAATATTGAAGATGCAGCTGTTATTAATCTAGTACTGTTGTGGTATGAGGAGCATATGTAATGGGACTTTAGATTTACATGTAGTCTGTGGGCATTTAAAACACCCCAAAGAGGAGATTCTGAGGAATCAGATCCATCACTGGGTATTAAAAGCTCTTCGTTAGTGCTAATGTACACTAAATTAAGGTGGCAATTAGGCAGAGCTTTTTCACCAGGATTATATTTTTTAATAAATTGTATATTTAACATGATTATATTTTACTGACTTCTCCAGTAATTGCATATTTTTCTCTTATAGTTGACAAGCTTGGCTACAAAGAGATTCATGGGACACGCAGACCATTAAGGACTAGAGAAGACACAGCACTTCAAGTCACAGACTTGCAAAGGTGAATCTTACTTACGGGTCTTTCTTGCTGCATCTCAAAGGCTTTCTCTGTATCTCTGTCAGGGCTAGCTGGATGTAGCTATGGTATGCAGGAGTGGAGTAAGAAACACAGCTCAGCTGCTGTTGTGTGACCTGGAAGGTGTGCTGCAGCAAGTCGTGAGAATGAAGGGAGGCCTTTCCCCTTCAGTCTCCTCATTAAACCTGCCCTTGCTTCTGCCCTACCTAGAAGAGAAGACTGTGTGGAAATAGTGCTCTGAGAGGGTTTTTTCTGGAAGGTACCATCTGTCAGAATATGTTCTCTTACCAGATCCTGCCACTTTGGTTTAAAGGAGTTGGATACAGCTTGCAGACACTGAACACAGACATTCCCCTGAAGGGAAGGCAAGCTTGCTGAGTCAAGGCTCCATACCTTGAAGCCAAAGGGTGTACTGCCATGTTGTTGGGGAGAGGGCACAGTGGAGTGATTCCAGATTGTGGCAGTTGTCCAGCAGTGGTGTAGCTTAGAGCTGCATGGATGTGTTGCTAGTGACATCTCAGATGGAACAGCCCATGAGAATTGAAGCACTGACTTTGAAGAGAACCCAGTCTGTATTTTTTTAATTTCCTTTAAAGTCTGGCAGGTAGTGGTTCTGGAGAACAAGGTTTCTGCTGTTACCTGGTTGCATTGTACATGATAGGAAAGCAGACTCCTCAAGTCATTGGCTAATATTTGTGGGAGATGCAGCAGAACTGGCTCTCAGGTTTTAAAGAAAGCAGTGGGTCCGTTAGGTGGACAAAGTCTTCACAAATGATAAAGGCAAAGAATATTTATGTAAGAGGAAGAGATAACGTGGACAACGTGGTAGAAGATAAGTGACAGAAGAAGTGGTTTGAGTGAGGGTTGGACCAGATAACCTCTAGAGGTCACTTCCGATCTTAGTTATTCTGTGATTTCTGTGAAGTATCAGAGATGGGAGACTCTGATGAGCCATATACTGAGAGCACAGTGTCTGAATTGTATGCAGTGGAATAGGAATAGTTGATAGAGGTATGTTAAAGGTGAGGATTGTGTGACTGGAATGATAGGCAAGGAGAACGGTTTAGGCAGTCATTTTCAGTACAGGGTAGGAATGGTATGATATGGAAGATGAAAGGTTTGAGACTGGTGATGATAAAGCGCTCCTTGAGAGTTCTGATAGACTGGCAGATCTGAGGGGTGTTGTTACTCCTTTCACGAGAAGGTAATTCAGATACAGTACAGTTGTTATGAAAATACTTTTCACAGTGAGTGAGGCCAAATGTTGGAACAGGTGCCCAGAGGGACGGTGGAACCCCTGTGCTTGGAGATACTCAAAACTTGACTGGATATGATCCAGAGCAACCTGATCTAACTTTGAAATTGGATCAAACTTTAAAATTGGCCCTGCTTGGAGGGGGGGCATTTGGACTAGATGACACGCAGAGGTCCTGTTTAACCTAAATTTTCTGTGATTTCATCTCTATGGCAAAGATGAAGGAGCAATCCAAGTGAAACCCTAGGTTTCAGTCCGCTGTGAAAGGGGAGTGTTGGCAGAGGGAAATGTCAGTGACAGCAGAGAGAAATGTGGAAGCAGTTTGCAGGGGAGTGGTTAAGCAGTTTCCTTTAGATATGTGAAGTTCAAGGTAGTTTCAGGATGTGCAAAAACAAATGTGAGAAGGAAGGAAATAAATGGCAATTGGAGAAGAAAAGAATGCATTGCTTTGAAAAGCTAGAATTTATTTCTGACTGATTACAGCAGCTGGGGTATGTTTTTGGCTGTGCTGCTGGGGTTTTTTGGAATCCCCATCGCTTTGCAAGATAATATTCATATTAGGGGGGAAATGTAGAATAAGCTGCCTAACAAAAAGTGGAACATTTATAGCCGTATTTCAGACAAAAACAAATGCATCTCATGTCTCATAGGTCTGAGATGGGACAAGCCAGGGAAGGCATCTGTCAGCCGCTGTCTTCCGCAGTTCTGACTGTTAATGTTTGCTTAGCATTAAATGTCTTCTGCAGAGATCTTACTCTGTCACAAATTTGGGGCCTGGAGGAGGGGAGAAGATATTTTTAAAGAGTAGAGTAAGACATATGAGTCTAGATTGTATCTCGGTTGCATCAGTGTGTAGTAGGAGTTACTTAAAAAGCTTTGTGTTTTGTGTATATGTGTGCAGTGGGTCAGATCATGCTTTTGATTGATTTGCCCTGTTTTAATCAGTGCAGTGAGAGATCCAAATGCTGAGTTTCCATGTACTGTTTTGAGATCTATGCATCTAAGAGAAATGGGAAAGGGTGTGTTGTGCTGACATGTGAGAGCGTCTCCAAGCTGTAAGTTTCAGTACTGAGCAACTGCCCTGCACTAACATTTCTCACACCAGACCAATGGGTTAGCGTTTTTTGAAACTTTACATTGAGCTCTTACGACGTGAAAGCTTTGATGTGCTACGTTCTTGGGTTTGCCAGCCAAGACCTTGCCCTGTCGCTGGTGACTCGTTTCCATTTGAACATCCTGAGTTGAAGGACTTCCAGGACTTGTAAATCCCACTAATTGTGTTCCTGTCTTGCAGCACAGCAGAGTTAGCTGCGTTGCATTTATTTGTTGCTTTGCTCTGTGTGGAGCATGTTTTTTTAAGAAATTACAGATCTGAGCCCAGCACCACCACTGGGGACAATTTCTGGTCCAGGCAAACAGGGAGTTTTCACTTGTCAAAGCTCACTTAATAAGTGTTTTTGTTGCTCCCAGGTTACTTCCTATTTTGACTGCATGGCCCTGCCAGCCCTGTCAGTGATGTTTGCAGGACCTGAGCCCTCAACAGCCTGAGGGACTGCCTTCCCTGCTCGCACCTAGGAAACATTTAATATACTGAGTGGATGCATGGGAAGCAGTAATGCAAGGAATTTTAGCTTAGATTTGTGTGTGTAAAGAAAAGGAAGGCATAGATGTAGCTCATGGAAATCTGAGCAGTTCCAAGGAAGTCAGCTCTTCCTGCTCAGGAAGTAGATCCAGATATGGAAAGTAAGGTAAGGAGGGAATGTGGTTTATCAACTCTGCAAAGCAATGGTAGGCTCAGAATCAGGCTCAGGAGCTGCTGCTTCCTAGACCACAGGCAGTGTTTTTAACGTGGGTGCCCCTGCAGTGGGGTGGGTGTGAGTGATGCGAAGTGGCAGAATACAGTTAAACTGGTTTCCTTTTTTATCCCTTTTTCACCTAAGACTATTGTGTAGATCATGTGGGAGGGCACTCAAGAAGGCACGATTAGAGGTCTCTCTAATAACTTTCAGACTTTGACTAATATAGTGAGATTTAGCTTTTTGGGGGATAGTGTTGGGAACATCTTGGTGCTGCTGATTCTGGGGCTTTTGAAGTACCAGTATCCTGTTGATTTGTTTGTATTTTGTATCCCTCTCTACTGTAGTGTCTAAGCTTATGGATTAGGGGAACTGGAGGTTCACCTTACCTCCAGGTAATCCAAAGAATTTCTTCTGCAGCTCTCTGCCTTTCTGTACTTCAAGAACTCCTTTCTCTGTGAGATTTGCAGTGATGGTTTAAACCTCCTCAGGGAATTGTCAGCCTCCTCTTTGACAATTAAGCTGTGTGCATCTCTTCCAAATCCACATCAGAGCTTTGTGTCCCACTCCATCTCCTACACTCACAGTCTTGGCTTTGAATCTCCCTAGGTGGAACAGTTGTGCATCAAAGATGTAAGAAAATAAACTTTGTAAAGAAAAATGCTGCCCTCATTCTTAGATGTGGATCCAGGTTTGTGATTCTCCAGAAGTGTAGGTGGACGGTAAAACTGGGTTTTTGGATATGCTCAGGATTCTTCCAGCAAAGGGGATTCCCTAGGCAGTACCCAGCCAGCAGAGGCACGCTGCCATCCTGCCCCAGGCCAGCAGCAATCCTAAAGGAAAGCAGCTGCATTCGTGTACCGTCATCCTCCTGAGGCGTTTATGTTGTGCCATTCGTGTGTCTATGCCTGTTTTGCCAGTAGGAAGGGACTAATTTGACTTTTAAACCGTGTTGAAGAAGTGCAGCAAACAAACACACTGTATGAATCTGGCTGTTTACCTCAGGCAGCCCCTTGCTGGGAGAGCTGCCTGCCGTGGGTTTTCTCAGCCGTTCTGCTAAAGGAGATCGGTTACCATGGTCACGGAGGGAAGGACGGTGGTGAGGCTGTGCAGCTCTCCCAAGTTTTGTGGATTAATAAAAACAATGAGGGAGTGAAAGAAAGGGTTTGATTTCTAGCCTGGTTTAAAAAAAAAAAAAGTTGGATAATTTCTTTCCCTCTCTCTCTTTTTTTTTTTTTTTTTTTCCCCAAATGGATCAATTGTGCTATGCTAGCATAGTGTATAATAGGTGCAATTCTGTTTTGAGGATGGCATTCACAGTGGGGAAGGGGGAAGACATGGGTTAAGGAAGCATGTGGGCTTCAGGAGTGATTCTCTAGAGAGCAAAGCAAAAACATGTGCATCTTTGGTTGCATGTGTATGTATCCACCTATGCAAGGTGCAGAGACCGTAACGTCTCTTCTGTCAGTGAAACTTTTACTGTTTTATGTATTTGTTCGTCTGTCCCTCTATGGTGTTTGGTGATATGATTACATATTGGGAAGCACAGTCGCTTCGTTAAGCAGTAAGCTTTTGAGGGCAGAAACTTTCTTCCTTTATAGCCTCATCTGATCAGGATTTCTAGCTGCTCTTCCAAAATAAATATTGTCCTGAGAAATTTGCAGTCTAATTCAGGTACGTGGGGTTTCAGAACTAGTTCAGATTCCTTAGCTTTTTTTCCTGGGATGGAAGACTTACCAACTTTGATCCATAGGCCCTGCCTGCAAAAGGCTGGTGCAGGATGGATTTCAGTGGCACAGGAACATTTCACACTATGTGGCAAGCAGGTCTTCTGCCACAGTCTGAGTAACCTGGCTGTGGGAGGGATGTCAGTAGACACAGGGACGCTGCTCAGCTGCTTCTGCAGAGCTATCACCTTCCTCAGGCCCTTCCACATTCACACACATCAGTCATTCCTAGTCCAACTCCTCCAAATGTCTAAAAGTTTTCCCTGAAAATGCCGTCCTTGTTTGTGTGGTCCTCATTCTGTAGAGCAGGCTTGTATGGAGTTAACTGTCCAGGGAGAACACGAAGGGAATTAGCAGTGGTCATTACCTCTTATTAGCCTGTGCTATGTTACCTTGTTCAGGTAAGAATTGAGCCCTTCTGTATAATGAACTCCACAGGGCCTCGGGGAAATGAAACAGAAATAGGTCTGTGTCACTCAGATGAAAAGTGAGCGTGCTAAAGTAGTGCTGGTGTTTTTCAGGAATAATTGGATCAAGGAGCCTGGAGACCATGGAGGGAGACTGTCTGAGCTGCATGAAGTACCTGATGTTTCTTTTCAATTTCTTTATATTTGTAAGTATTTGAAATCCATTTTCTCTCCTGAATCGTCCTCCTGTTTCCAGCAGCATCCTGTGCCCCAACAGGATATGCTGTACTTGGGTAAAGTTGCCATGAAGCAGAAACACCCTCAGCTTTGTACTAGCAGTCGCTAAGGTGTTCATGGCATCCAGAAATGCTCAGACATTCAGCAAGCCAGCACAGTGGTGGTGGTTCTCTGAGTGATTCCTCTCCTTGGCAGGGCAAGACTGGAGAGAAAGCTTTAGCTAGTGGTGAAGGAGGTATATCCCTGATGATTTAAAAAATTGGTTTCTATTTCTAGCTGCCCTGCTGAGGTTTTCACTAGACAACACAGCCGTTTCCCTGCTGCTCCTAGAGTCCTTTTTCTCAGTAACCCCTGTTGCTCTTGTCTTTGACAGGAGAGGTGGGAGCACCTGGCCACCCTCCCCAGAGCAGGCAGCGTGGCCACTGCGGAGGGGACAGTTCCCTTGAGCCCCTTCCTGGGCTCTCCTGGGCAGATGTGACAGCAGCTCAAGGCTTAGCCTTTCAACATTAGGCAGGGAATAAACAGTGTTAGAGAGAAGTGTCAAAGAAAGGTGCTTTTGCTGCCAACTTTTCACTTAGTATGCGAGAGATGCTGAAACCGTGTAGCCTCTCAGCAGTCACCTGCTGTGCAGAGAATATATGCCATGGGGAAACAGCAGTTCTCTGAGAGAACACCTTCGATCAGAAGGTACTGATGAACCCAGTAATCCCACAGCGGTTGTTTTATGTTGATGTGTCTCCCTCTCTCTCCCCTCATCATGCCGTGACAGCTGGGAGGAGCGTGCCTGCTGGGAGTTGGTATCTGGGTCATTGTGGATCCTACAGGTTTCCGAGAGATAGTGGCTGCTAACCCTCTGCTCTTCACGGGAGCATACATCATGCTGGCTATGGGAGCGATGCTCTTTCTGCTGGGTTTCCTCGGTTGCTGCGGTGCCATCCGTGAGAACAAATGCCTTCTGCTTTTTGTAAGTGTCCTTTCATCTTTTGTTGGCCTTTTGGTGTTCCCTGAGAATGGGGGCAACTGTTTCACTGAATAGAGTGATATGTGATAAGCGCATGAATGAATGTGTGTTATTGCAGCCATTATTCTCTTGCGCTTTAAAAGCATTTAGGGCACTTCTACGCACAGCTAGAGATGCAGAGAATTTGGTTCTTCGCTGTACCAGGCTTGAGCCCAGTGGGGAATGGGGTCAGGGAGCGTACTTTGACTTTGTTAAGTTTTGTTTCAAAATTATCCTATTTTTTGTTTTTTGCTTTTATAAAGTGACCAAAAGTGGTCCGCTGCTAGCCAGCCAAAACTTTCAGCTCCACTTGTGGTTTCATTTCTCACTAGTTCACAACAAAGCAGAGAGAACATGTGGAGCAGCGCATTGATGAAATGGAGCCCTCCTGCATCAGCATAAATGCCTGACTCAGAATTGCATGATGGCTTTGCATTGCAGCTCCCAATAGGTTGTCACTCCTTTCTGCAGCTTTCCTTGCTCCTGAAATGAGACAAATTTGTTATCTTCATAGACAATTTCCCTCCTGGATGATGGGGTTAAATTTCAGCCCTTGTGGTCATCAGGTGTTGTTTACAGAGAAGTAGCCTCTAAAACAAGTCATTTTTGACCTCTGCTATAATATTTGATACTGCAAGGTTTCCAGCCATTATCTCCTGCTGAAAAACGTACTAGTTACGTGTCAAAACACAAAGCTCTCTCATTTTATTTCTTCTTTCTGTCAAATGTGACCTTTTGTTTCTCCCTCTGCGTCTGTTGGTTTGGTTTGGGCTTTTCATTTTTTTAATCATATTCTCACAGTGTTTTGTCACGATTGTATCTTGGACACAGAGCTGTGCAGAAGCAGTAGCAGGAGCTGCTTCATAGTATAAAAGAGGCTTGTCCCTAACTTTAACAGAATAGGAAGGTTTACTTTGTTGAAGAAGAAACCATTTTTCTTAGAGATCAATTCGCTCTACTGAGATAAATTCACTCTGCCCTTGGCTGACCCACCTCTTGAATTCATAAACTGCGCATGACAGCCCTTTTCTGGTGGGTTTGGTGTCTAATGATTTACCTCAGAAGTAAATCATAAAACCAGAAGTATCCCCTGTGAAGTCGTGGAGCTCTGCCCAGAAGAACCTAATAAAATGCAAAGTGTCGTGTCCAATTAGATTGAAGTTATTCCAAAGCCAGTCCGTATGAGATCAAGAAACTAAAAGTTATGTATGAAGAGAAACATTGATTATAAGTGGAGATAAGTATTTTCAATTTGGAACCATGTAAGCTGCATGCAGCTCGGGGACCCAGCTGGAGGAAGGGAGTTCTGGGCCATAGCTTTTCTTTCCTGGTCTAACGTTACTGAAGTCAGTAGAGTTATATTGCAGCTGAATATTGCTTCTAGCATTTTAGTTAAGTTCCAGTGCACTCAGTTTTGTGATCATGACTTTTCTGACTCTCAAAGCTAGTACTGAGCCCTGCTGCTTTATTTATTTATTTGTGTTGTTATTTTATTTTGTACTGGGAATGTGAGAAGTATATGGGCTGGAAGTAATGTGTGAGACTAAAAGAAACTCTCCTCTGGATGAGGAATTAGCATTCCACCTTGACTGAGGGCTTCCAGGGCTTCTGGCATCAAAGTATCTGCCTGTTAAACAACCTGCCATCCCATGTCCAATAGCAGTGAGGCACCTTGAAAAGATTCAGTCCTGATATCAAGTAAGAACAGATATTTTACTATTTGTGCTCTTTTTGGAGACCCACACCAGCTGACCTTAAAATGCATAAAAGATCTGCGAAGTCAGAAGTCTGACGGGAGTAAGGTTTAAGTGTTGAAAAGGCAAGTCAGTCATGAGCATATGCCAGCAAGGCTGGGAACACCCTTCCAGAACTCAAGAGTGTTACGGTTCAGAGGGGTGGGACTTGGGCAAAGTTGCTTAGTCAAATCAAATCCACTTACAAAGTCATTAAAGAATTGATGAGCCAGAGCTGCTTGAGTGAGATTTCACAGTGATGCATAATGTATATTTGGAGCTTTTAGTCCAAAGGTAAATGGAAGATAGAAGGAACAAGACAGATGCACACATGCATGTTCTCTAGGTTCTGGCTTCTGTATGTGCAAGGACTTGCATTTTACCTTAAGGTGTTTGTCTTTTTGGAAAAAAGCACCACTGTGGAACCTAGCATGTTGTGCTAAGCACAAGGCTGTGAAGTGTTTTTAGCTTCACCGGAAATCAGACAGGGCTCACCAAAAGCAGCAAACGTTGGCCTGCGAAGTAGAAATTCACTGACCTCTGGATTGCCCTAAAGATATTTTGACTGCAAAAGAACAGCATCAAAACCAGAATCCACAGTGCTTCCGACTGTACAAAAAATGCTTGTGTAAATATATACTTTTTTTCCCCCATGGGGCTGATTTCAGCTTTGCAACAAGAAAAGTTTGTGCTAGCTTGATTTGGCTAAAACAATAGATGTGCTATGAAAAAGAAACATGAAACATTGATTTGTGGAAACTTCTGACAAAACCTATAGCCATCACCAGGAGCTAAAGTAGAATTTTTGACCAGAATAGGTGACCCCACTCCTTAGGATGTTCAGACCCTCAGCTTGGATGAGGGAGGTACCCATGTTCAAGCGCCTTGTCTCAAGCATGAATTTGAATATGAGGCTGCTACGTCCCATACAAGTGCACTGACCAGTTGGCTGTTCACTGCTCAGATATTGGTAATTGCTTAACTTAATTTTGGGATGCAAAATAAGCAGATTTTGCCTTTCCGTAAGATGTAGAACGAGAACAAATTTGGAAACACTGATGCACCGTCTCTTTTTTTGCATCAGCCCTGGTGTTTGCTCATGCTTTCTCTACAGTAACTACTACAAATCTGCGGACTGCACAATGCAAGTGTAAATCAGTTTAGGAAGGATAATGAAGCTTATCAAAGAGACAATCTGGAAATGCCTACTTCCACTTCTGCACAGGCCCTGTGCTGGAGCTTGGTTGAACGTGTGTCTCCCAGTAATCAGTAAATGAAATGCAATTAGCAGGGTGATGGGATTAATCACTTGATCACCACCTTAGACCTCTTAGTGACTACGCTGAGATCCCTTGATGGATGATGATGTGGATTTGCAGAGTATCGTTCATTCTCATCACTTGTTCTTTGCCCTCCTGTGGTGAAATTAAAAACAAAACAGTCTCTGAGCAAGAAAAAAAAAAGCCACACAAAAAATTCCAGCAATAAGAATGAATCACGGTTAACCATTTAGCAGATCAAGCAACAGCATTCTATTGGCAGTCTAAAGTCCCTGCTCCTCTGACCGTTCTCGTTTTGTCCTTTGAACCAGGATTTCTTTCTTTTGTTTCCTTTGCAAAAGCAGGATGACAAATGGGACAGTGTAGTGAATGCACTTTTCCAGTGGGCAAAAATCACGTACAGTTCTAATAATTGACACCAAAAAAGCATTTTGCCCATTCCAAGCAGGCAGTTTGAATTCTCTCTCTGTTATGGAAATACATGGCACAACGCATTCCAGACATTGTTTATAAGTTATTGCCTGGGGATCATAGTAGTTCTTCTGACCCCATCCGCCTTCCTTCTGTTTCAGAAAGACCTCCAGTAACCTTCTCACACAGAAACAAATTCAGGCTTCTCTTGTGTTTTATTTCTGCCTGTTGCTTCAACCACCTTCACTGGTAACATGGTCCACCCATTTATTACCCTCCAGGTGCTGCAGTCGTACTGGGTTCTGCATTCACTTCTATTTTTCTCACATGTGACCAAAACCTGAGGTCATTTCCAAACGTTCACTCAGTCTGGTAAAACCTTTTAAGTCTATGGACCAGTTCTTGGTGTCCTTAAATTTTAAAATGTCTGACTCAAAAGGGGGATTTCTTTTTATAACTATAAGAACATAAAAAAATGTCCTACTAGGTCAGACTAATGGTTCCTTAAGCCTGAGAGATCTGGGTAGACAAGGTGCCGGGTACGGGTCTCTCACAGCCCAACTTCACCATCTCTGTGGGAATGGGAGACCTCTTAAGTTTGTCTGATTTACCTCTGTGGGGAAAGTGGAGAAGGCAAGGCGAATGAGTCAGGCTTGGTAACAACACAAAAATAAGGTGTATTTAGTAAGACTGAAGACCAAGTTTTAAATAGAAGCAACAGAAGGTTGCAAGGATAACAAATTGAAAACGCAGTTCCATCTTAAATTTAACAACCACATGCCTCTCTGTTCACTTGCATTTCTCTTACCTTGAAGTATTATGACATAGATGTAATTGCTTTACTTCAAACTGGTCTTCTGAGAACCGAATGATTGTTTCTCTTTTGCGACCACTCAGCCTCCTGGCTGATTGCTTTCTGTCAAATCTGCAATGTGCCCTTTATTTAAGTCTATGAATATGCACACTTTCAATACTATACAAACCACAGATGATACTTGCACAATCATGTTAAGTTTATGATGGTGTGTTATCAACTTTCTGTCGAGATTTTATGTGATGCATTATAAGCGTAGATGAGAGACCTGGTACTGATTGCAGCGTCTGGCTAACTCTGTGAAGCAGGTCTTCAGCTCCCCTTTTTCCCTGCAAAGTTTACTGCAGTTTCCCACCAGCATGCAGTGGCTGTGTTTTTTCATACCAGCTATATTAATGTTCCTAACTTGGTACAACCCCATTATGTGAAGAGGGGGATTTTTAACTGGGGCTAATTTTGTCCTGAAATGGAGAATTCTCTAAAAAGAGTCAGTTTTTGGCCATAGATATTAAGTACACATCCTACTACTCCCTTCGACGCAAAATGAGCCACGATTATATTATTAGCAAAGCTATTTGTGTTGTGATGATGGGTGTATGTAGGTGTATGCAAGAGATAGGTTATATACGTTAATTCCCCTTACTGTTTCAGGACAGTGTAACCCTGTGCAAGCATCTTCACGATGCTATTTTTTTTCCATCAAAGAAAGCTTTACTGTTTTAACCTGGTGCAGATTAATCAGGGGGTGCCAAGTGTCCTATAGGCCATATACCCTTTTACCAGGCAAAATGCTCCCATGCCCTGTGCAAGCTCCTGCTTCCCATGACACGGTCAGAGAGGGGCTGTGTCTGCCCCAGATTACTGTATCGATTTTCAGTGCATTTTGATTGGTACAAATGCTTCATGTTGAACAACAGAAAGATAAAAACTTTATAGGTTTCTTTAATTATTGAGAGGGAAAATAAAGTTTCCTCTGCTATTTTTTCCATCTCTTTTGTGACTTGGAAAACTTTATATTCCTACTCCCTGTAGCATGCACTTAATGATATGTCTGCGTTTTTTTTCCTGTATCTTCTCTCTTCTAGTTCTTCATGTTTATTCTGTTAATCTTCCTGGCGGAGCTTTCAGCTGCAATCCTGGCTTTTATCTTCAGAGAAAATGTAAGTATTCTGTGGTGGGCAAGCTCTGAACCCTGTTGGGATTGTATCCAGCTGGAGCATGGGGCTAGGTGGTGGCTGATAAGTTTGTAGAGCGACTGTGTGTTTCAACTACCAACAACCTGCTTCATTACTACCCTCAGTCTGCAGAACTGCCAGCAAGCCAGTGAATGTTAACCAAGCTGGCGTATGTGAGGTGGATGGGTTATGCACACAGAAGGTATTTGCTGGGGGACCACTTAAATCCTGAAGTTTTTAGTGTCTAGATTCTTTTGCAGCCAAACCAGCTGCATATTCTATCACAGAGGAGTTTTCTAATAAAGTCACACTAAGGTTGAAAGCATCTATTTTATTTTTTCAATATAGCATGTGTTTAATTTTAATAGTGAAACCTTCTGTTTGCCCAGCAGAGCCAATGCTTGCTTTGTCTGCGGTGCGAAAAGTCTCTTGTGCACCTTCTAATCATGTTGAATTTTCACTGTTCTGACGCTTGCCAGGTTCATCTCAATGCTGCTTATAAGAGATCCTCCCCCTGACTTGTTCTGACCAAGGCTCCCCATGTTTCATTGTGGGTACTCTCAATGGTTCTTGTGCATATTGCTCTGCTTACAGGTTCCTGGTCCTTCTCTCTACAGCTTCATATGACGTAACCCTTCTCTGCTTGGTGGCTGTGCATATTATTATATGGCTGTCCTCCCTTCTCTGTACTAGTAGTAAGCACAATCTCATTTATATCATCTCTACCCTGCAGAGGTTTGGGCGTTTTCTTTCATGCCCCATGCTTCTCAAGGCAGCCCGTCCTTGAAATATCACTGAGTGATAGCTGTGAGAAAATGTCAGCTAGTAAAGAGAGTCAGTAGTGACTGTTGGTATTTATCTTGTTTATTTGGCCTCTCTCAGTAATAGGAGAACATACAGCATATCCCTTCTACTGAACGTGATGAAAGTGTAGCATGAGCAAAGGGTCTTGTAATTTGCTATACTTTTCATTTTTGTAAGCCAGGCTATGTTTTTATTTTATTCATATAAAAAGAATTTGATGAGCTAAGAATCAAGAGTCACGAAACTGATAGCAAAACAGTGTGATGTTTGTACAGTAGGATGGTCTGCAGGGAGGTAGTGGGAGGATTTTTTTTTTTGCCTTTATTAGCTGGTGGTCTTTGTGCCTTTGCCTCAGAAGTAAGCACCGTGGAAAGAACGCTTTGTATGCAGTGTGGGTACTCCATTCCAGATTAGGCTTTGAGACCATGTCTTAGTGGGAATAGCTGCAGCTTTGTAAATGGGTTGCAGCATGGGGGGTCTGGTGTGTTCTGGTCAGTACAGCTCTTCTGTTATGAGTTTTTAGAGGATTCCTTTGGTGCAGCACAAGAAGCAGACCGCACACGTAGAAACACTTCACATGTGCTGCTCTGCAGACCCAGGTACTGCTGCTCCACCACAGTCTTCACAAAGGAGAGATAATGCAATTGTTGATGAGAAGGTGCTGGGGAAGCAGCAGATGGCTGAGGACAGCTGACTGCTCCCACTGCCAGAACAGAGTTGAAGGAATTAGCAAAAAGGCATGAGAAACTAGACAGGCTTAACTCGAGTCTCGCATGTGGAGCGACTACTGGACTGGCTGTGCCCTCTTTCCTGGGTCAAAGGATCCTGCTTATGTCTTGGTTCTGGGCGAAGCATCAGTTCCTTCAGTTCCCATGGGAGCAGTGGGATACACCAGGATATCTGCATATCTCTCCCTTGCAAGATAAGTTTGTAGTGATTATTCTAGACTTTTGTGACATGTGGGGGTGTTTTGTGAGTTTAAAAATTGAAGGGGAACAAACTACTCAGCTGTCTTTCCTGAACTCCTCTCCCTTTTTGCATCACCAACTTCCCACCCTGTCAGAATGGTGGACAGGAAAGGCATAAATGGGAAGATATAAAGAACCTTAAAAACCCAGCTCAGTTGGAAATGTCTCTATGCACAAGTTAAACTCAGTCTAAAAATTCTTGTGGTTTGTTCTCTCCTCAGGTTTCTTCTGAAAAAACACTTTATTTTACTGTTGTATTTTTTCATCATATGCTGTGGTTTAGTAACTGTTTGTAGCTAATTTTGTTGTCATCTGTGGGTTAGCCTGAGGCTAGGTGGCTGGACAGAATGTCTGGGAGGACAGGGGTGATCTTTTGATGACCTCCTCTTCAGGAGGAAGTCTTCAAACTAGCTACTTCAGGTCAGATTCAGTTGTGCTTTTCTCTGAGAAACAAGGTTACTTTCACACTTGTGGTAAATGGTAATTGCACCAGTCCGTATGGCTATAGCCTCATTAGTGGTGTATAAAATGAGATAGAAGAGAAGGGTACACTCCAGCTGCTTGCTTTCTCCATGATGTTCAGGGCAGCATTCTCATGTGTGGTGTTTTGCATGCAAGCTGACTCCCCAGACACTCAACAGACTGAAGTTATTAAGAGCTGAGGGAGAAAAAGAAATCAAGAGATGCAAATAAGGGAGAAAAGAGATGTTTTCTGCTGAGATTTGACATGAGAGGGAGAGTCAGTGAAAGTAGAGGGTGTATGAGGTGGTGGTGAGTGAAAGTGGCAGCTTGTCACATTAGCAGTGGTGAGCAGCGGCTGCAAGTCCAGCTGGACTCCTGAGGAATTGTTTTAAAGTAGATTTGGAAGAGGAAGTCTGTTGTTAATCAAATTTGGGAGTACTAGTTTTTCATTTTTTATAAAGGAAGCTTTTGGAAGCAGAGAGCTCTTTTCTTCTAAACACTGGTTATGTCACCCCTGTAAAATAATGTCTTCCATGAACAGCAGAGCAAGGCATCATGAGAGCCCATGGAAGAGCAATTTGACTTGCATGCAGGAATTGTTCTTTCTGATGCCTTTCAGAGGTCTGGATGGGAGAAACCCTGGAGCAATAGCTGACTTTTTTTGTGTGTGTGATGAAATTAATGACCCTACATAGACTCTATGTTGGTGAGGGAACTTCTCTTGAAAACGTATTTCTGCTTGAATGACAGTATGTGTGTATGCGTCTGAGAGACGCGGTGAATTGCCTTAGTGAACAATAAAGCGGAATGGCAGGGACGGAGCAGTGCAGTGACACGGCACTGGACCGAGTCAGGATGTTTAGGTTTTTATTCCCAGTTCCGATGAAGTCGCTTCGGTTCTTGATACCTCTGTTTCCTTAGACGTAAGGCAAAAACTAAGCAGTGTGCACGTTGCGTTTCTAGCCTGAGCAGTTGGAGTCTTGGATGGAAAGCGCTATGGAAGAGAGAAATACAGGACTGGTGCTGTATCTACAGTACAGATATAGTACTGTGTCAGAAACGTTAGCGTGCTGCAGGCAGGTGCAGAAGGATGGAAGTGTGCCCTGTCTTCCAAGGATGCGTTATGAAAGCCCACTTCCTGCACAGCGTTATGTTTGGACACTGTGCTGTGTTGAGAAAACTGTGAGCTTCCTTGCCAGTGCTGGCTCACCCCTGTCGTATGGAAATACCCTGTTTCATAAGCCCCTTCATCTGGCTGCAGTAATCCCACCCAAGCTATTTTTTAAATCAATGTAACAAGTCACCCCCACTTCATTTGTTGATGTGTATGCTTGCACACACCTCTTTTGTATTGGAGACTCCTCCTCAAAACAGCTAGGAGAAGAATACAACTAAAAGGTTATCTGTTCTTCGTGACTGTGCCTGATATAACTGTTACCAGAACTGTGTGTCAGAAGTGTAATGCACGAAGTCACATCCATACTGTTATTAGCTTCAGCTAGAGGGGGCCATCGGCCTGTGACTAGAATTGTCTTATTGAATTTATCCCCCTTTGCTAGTTGATTATTTTTTTAAAGAAGAAAAAAGATTCTACTTATCGGTTTTTAACATTGTTCTGAACTTCAGATGCTCAGGACAAACTCCAGTTTAACAGCAGCAAAGTGGAATCAGTTATTTTCCTGGCAAACTTACCCTTCTAGCACTAGGCTTTCTTTTAGGCCAAGTCTCATAAAAATCACACACAAACCCTGAACAATTTCCTCTGGGATTGCTGCTGTCAAAATAAAGATTTCACTTTATATTCAAATGACTCTTTTGTTTCAGACCCAGCCAAAGGCAGCCGGTTGGGATTATTACCAACTGTAATATCAGTTTCAAAGTCTACGCTTCAGAAATAAGCAAGCATCAAAAAAAGACTGTGCTGCTGTCTCTGTAGGGTAGGATGCTTGGTCGGTAAAGTATGCAAAGAAAAGGAAGGAAAGGAGGACACTGAGGATATGTTTCTGCATCTTCTAAGCTAGCCTTCCCCTAGTGCACCAAATTCCCAGAGGAAAATGCCTGTCTTCTCTCATCTTCTGATATTTTAATATTCAAAAGCAAAAAAATGAGTTAGTCTGTGTCTTGTAAAAGTGATTTAGGAACTTAGCAGGCTATCTCATTAAAAGGTAATGAGATTTAGTTACCCAAGTCATACAAGTCTTTGTGAAAAAGTTTTACCCGCTGTTAAGTCATTAAATTTTATCTTAGCTTGTATTTGTAAAAGTTAATGGTAAGTAGTATTCTGGTTCTTTTAAGGAATTACACAGCTTTCTCAGTTTTCCTTAAATGCTGTGATAACGTTACAACAGAAACAGTTGATTTTGTACTTTTGTGCCCACCCATGCATCTGATACATATATGTACATGTATGTGCCCCTGCTTTGTGCAGTATTTCACGCTGCATATCAAGAATCTGAAGCCAGCTCTTCACAGCATATGTTAGTGGTTTATGGATCAACAACGCTGTATCAACAACAAAAAAAGAAGAGGCCTTTCTCAGGCAGCTCAAGTCCTGATCCTTGCAAATATGCAATACTAGAGCAATGCTGTATGCAGCTGAGCACTAGTACCTTCACTGAGGCTTTGTGCTGGCACAGAAATTCTGCCTGTGTGGGTCGCAAATCACAACAAAGATATTTTAGAGAAGGGACCACACAAGTCAAGAGCAGCGGGAACCTGAAAAGGGGATCCCCTGAAGTTTTCATTTTGAAGTGATAGAAAGGCCACGAAGATTGAGTCAGGCTATTCAGTTTAACAAGACTATTAAGTTTCTATATTGTTCCTCTAGAGAGTGATGCTAGGCAAATGTAATTTCAAGGTGTCTGACTTTTTGAGGAGACTCTGAGCAGAACTGTTGGTACGATTTTTCTATTTTACTGTAAACAGGAGTAGATGAAGTTTCATTTATTTTTATTGTTGAGTCTGGGAAAAAATGTTTAAGTTATCTAAACATTGGAAATGTAAAGAGGATTTTTTTTTCTTGTGTGTGGGTTTGTTTAGATAATCTAAAGCATTGTCAGGGAAACGGTCTTTTTTATGATTTGTAAGTTGACTTGAACATTTCACATTTGTTACTTTTCTTTTTTTAATTCCTTTTCATCCCTCGAAAGTTCAGTATTAGGGCCTGATTCTACTTTCTCACACATGGAAATAAATTCAGAGCAGTACTCCAGTGTTAGCAGAAAATTAACTGGTTTAAAATGAAAAGTAAGGGGAAAATCATGTCTTGATTGTGGACCTTATGAAGCACAGTAAGTTAAGCTGCTATATAGGTGTGGATTTGATGATCTTTCTAAAATCCCTTTTAGACCTTTTTCAATTTATGAAGCACTTTCAAATAGCCCTGAATATATGTGTGTGTATATATATAGATATACAGATATAAACTTTAAATATTAGCTTACAAATATAGATAAAATTCAACCTCTTATTTTTAATGATTACAGTTGTTCACCTTGGATATAGTTATGATTCAGCCGGTGGCTTTTCCCATGTTTCTCCTTTTAGATTTGAAAAAAGACCAACAATAAAACAAAGAAACATTCACAAAGAGAGATCTGAGGGGTGCTTAGAAAAGAGGCCTTGGCAATAACAGTTTCCATTTCCACCTGTCTCTGCATTTCAGCTGACCAGGGAGTTCTTCACCAAGGAGCTGAAGAAACATTATCTGAGGAACAATGACACGGACGTCTTCTCTTCCACCTGGAACTCTGTTATGATCACAGTAAGTGGAGCCAGGCCAGTCCCCTGCTTTTCCTGGGTCAACTGGCACTGTCACTGTGCTCAGTCCCACACCCTCAACCCACCCTGCTTACCCATCCCACTGGTCAAACACAGCGTCAGGGTTTGTGGTGGTGGTAGTAATGAAATGAGAATTTGGCTGGCAGAGAGCCTTTCTCAGAGTGACCTGCCATTGGTAGGTGAAAGAGACACTCAGAGACCCTAGCCTGAGGCATTTGACCTGACTGGCTCTCTGCCCTCAGCCTTAAAACACTGGCACCGAAAGCCATGGAGCTGTCTGTAAGTGAAGAACCAGAATCTTACTAGTTTTACTAAAATAATTTAAGCACCATCTTCTGAAACAACTTGTGAGGACTGGCAGAGCTAGCTTGATGGGCCATGGATCAACCACTGCTCAACCACCTTGGAGTCTACTTCAAAACTCTATGCAGTGATCAAAGGCCAAAACTGGTGGGGTAGCCCATGGCTTTTTAGCAGCCCTTGTGAAATTAGTTGTTAGACAGCAGATTAATTGAGAGTATGCCTAATGGGATATTGTTAACACAGAAATATTTGCCATTAAATTTGACGTTATTTCAGTCCTAATGAGGTTGGGTAAAAGATTGGCTGTGTCACTGCAATTTAAATTCTTGTATACTAGAAGCTTTTACTTTCCACCTACTGCAAGAAATTGTGTGTACATGTGTGTATGTGTCTTTACACATGTGAACTTTGTGGTCTGCACAGCCCATGTTGTATCTGTTTGGTGATGAAGAGTAGGATGTCAGTCTCTGCTGATGAAAAGTCAATTTTAATCTTAAAAGGAAAAAAAATGATTGCTGCCCTTCATACTGATTCAGGATTTTAATAAAGTCATTTCCTTTTGCTGACTGAAAGGAGACAGAGTCAGGGTATGACTTGAATCCTTAAAAGGGACATGACGTGAATCCTAAAAAGGTACCTTTCTTGAATCACCTAGCAGTGCCTTTGAGCAGCAACAGTCCTGACCATTAGCTATGGGAAGAATGGGCAGTAGGGAGCCTGGGTTGTATTGCTGGCTCTTTGACGGACTTGCTGGGTGATCACAATTAAGTTGTTCTGATGTGCTCCAAAGTCCTACATAGATTCCCAATGGTACCTTTAGACTTTTCACTATGACATGGGAACAGTGGGACTTTTTATAAAGGCTTTGGTGAAAAAAAGCTCCAAGGTACATGCACAACCTACCTCTTTGGGGGCAACAGTTGTTTTATCTTTGTTTCGACCAAAGTTTTGATCCCTGAGAAATAGGGCTTTGAAAGACTTCTGGTGTCTCCTTTCAGGTCAAAGTGTAAACTGTCTGCCTCCTTTCATACCTTTCCCTAGTTCGCCTGCTGTGGAGTGAATGGACCAGAAGATTTCGAAACTCTCTCTCATGACCCACACTCACCTTTGGAAGAAGCGACACCAGAGGCTTGTTGCCAGCGACAGCTCCAGACACGGGAGGGGATGTTTGTGAACAAGGAAGACTGCCTCAGAGGGGTGGAGAGATTTCAGAATCGGCAGGTAAGAGAAGCCGAAAACTGGAAGGGAATTTCATGGCAGGCACAGACATGGCTGGGGCGATTGTGGGGAGCTAGTGGGGCAGGCTGGCAGGTCATGCCATTCTGGCTATATCTCAGATCCTGATTATGCTTATGCTGACAGCTTTTGAAGTGATGGCATAGGTCTGATTTTGAAAACGCCCTTTCATTGTGTGGACTGCTAGGTCTATGTTGTGTTATATCAACAGAAATATGAAGATTCCCTTAAGGGACTGACAGGTGAGGTAGGAGATTATGTCAAGTATTACTGTATTTCTGAAGGTTGACGCTGCCCCGAGAAGTCAATTGCCAAGCCAGCGCAGGTCAGTGGAGATGGAACGGAGCTGGCGCTTAGGGGCTGCGTTAGGGGTTCCAATCTAGTTCCTGAAAACGTATTGTCAGCAACATATGCAACCAAAACATCAAGGATTAAACAATCACGGAAAACCAGGTCTGTTTCCCAAGGAAGAGAAGTGTTGGAAAGTTGTATTTCTCTGCCCTTACGCTGATTGCAATAGAAAAATGGCATTTCCTTTGCCAGATCTCTCAACTTAGCAGTTCTTCCCAATACTAGACTTAAGTAAGGCAATTTAGTATAATATCATTGACACTGATATTACCAGTAGTATTCTCTTACATTTTCCCCAAGACCTGAAGTTTCAGAAACTTCCTAGCAAAGTTCTGTGTTCGTCTTAGCATTAACAAGCCATTCCAACTCTGTGCTGACTGTATTTGCAAGCCTTCTTATCTCTCCAAACTCAGCAATGGTCCTCTTTTCAGCGCTTGACAGCAGACTGTGAAATAAAGTAGAAGATTTTAGAAACAGCCTGCGAGCTCTTTCCTAGTCTGGCAGCTGGAAAATGTTGGCAAAGGCACTCTGGATGAGAGATCGTAGCAGAAAGCACAGTATTGCTTCTGCCACATCTGATTGCCATGAGTAGACGGGGAGGAGGGAGAGAAGGAGAGAGATGACAAACAGCAGGGAGGGAAGGAGACATGCATCTTGAGAAACAGGGTTAAAGCAGGTACTAAACTGGGGCTTTCCTGAGGTGGTGATGCTGCAACCTACTGGTTCTGTGGAAAGGGCAGGTTTTCTGTGACCTCTTTTGACTGTAGCGTAGAGGAAACAATGTGCACAGCAGATGTCACCAAGCACACAGTGAGATGTTTTTGTAAAATGGGAGACTCCCAAACAGCTGTTGACTGAATTCAAGGTTTCCTGGAGCAGTCAGGCTCCTGGGAAGCCATGCTGGTAGGGCAGTGCTGTCCACATTTGTGCGGACTAAGTTTGGTTAACGTTGGAGTTCTAGCAAACACCCAGGCATTTTATTGCTGGACTGGACACTTTGTCCTCAAAATTGGGCTGGAAACATAACAACAACAGAGCTGCTGCTGCGTGGCCTTTTCTTAACAAGAGGGTGGCTGTAACAATTCAGTTACTGCCCCAACAGGCTTCACTGCAGTGCTGTAGCTACAGCGTCTAGTCCAGGCTGAACATATGCAGCAGTGTGTAAAACTGCCCAGGTCCCGTCTGCCTCACTGACAGGACTCAGGACAGCAGAACGTATTCATGCTTCTCGGGACAGAGATTGTCTTTGAGGTCTCTAGAGAGCTGATGCCTTGGGATGGTATTTTGCGCTCATGCGGGAGGAAGTGTCTCTGGAGGGAGACAGAGCAGATGTTAGGCAGAGTCACTGTAATACAGGCCTTGGAGAGGAGAGGATACAGAAATAGGCTAATGGCTACCCTGTATCCTCTCCTCACTCCCTTGTAGTAGAAAAAGCTGTTGTCCTGTCATGTGTCAAGATAGGGGTGATTTTTTTTGTTGAGAAAGGCACTGTCACTCCCTGCGTTGCATCCAAAAGAATGAAGCTGTCAAGTGCCTGCAGGCCTGTGCCTGCACACTCTGTCCACAGTCTGTGACTCACAGGCATGCTTGCCTGACTCTGGCTCCTTGCAGAGTTTCTGGTGACCCAGTGGGCAGGGTCTCACATGGACACCAGCACATAACAGTTGTGCGGTCTTTGCTACAGCTCTGTGCATTCAGGACATTTTCTTTTTGAGAGGAAGTTAAAAATCAGGTGACTGAAACATCCCAGCTGTATGGATGGGATTAGATGTGTACGTGTGAAGGATATGCTCGGCAGGGAGGAGAAATACATTTTGCACTGAACAGACTTGAAGCTACTTGTTTCTTTTAATATGATCTCTTAGGAGAAATTTGTTGATAGGTTGGAATTTTAGGCTGGGACAGCTCAGACCGGGGTATGCTGGTGATTTCCAGACACAACCCGAAACTTTGCAGAGGATCTGCTTACTGTTAATTGTATGAACAATGATAAATAACATTAAGAATGATGGTAGCTGTCCTGCATAAATGGAGGGATTCCTATAGTGCATGGCTCTAGGTTCTTCATGAAATTAATTCTCCTATATCCAGAAGGTCAGCAGGTGTTGATCCATGCTCCTATGGAGGAAGGAAGAGAGAGAGGGTCCTGGGATGGGAAATAGCTGCTGGTATGATTGAGATAGCCTTCAGAAGTCTCCTCTCTTGGGTTTCAATAAATAGCCCTCCTCCCTAGCCAGCCTTGATTGCCTGTTGTCTGCCTTTGATGGGCCTTTCTTCTGTGCTTATTCTCTCCCCATTGCAGAGTGAGTCTCTCTCCCATGCTGCTCCTCTCTGTCCTGCAAATTCTTTGTGGTTAGTGAGGGGCTGTGTGTGCCAGCTACTCCCATCTCTCTGCAGCCAAACATCCCTCACCGGCACTGTCAGATGGTTCTCGGTCTCCCTTGCTGAGTGCTTTGGGGGTGGGAACTGGGCTTTTGGTGACTGGATCTGAGCGCACCTCATGTACAAAGGAGGGCTCTGCTGAGAGGACAATATGAAGTGCTGCTCAGGTGTGTCTCACCACGTTTCATCCTTCTTAGGGCTGTTACACTGTGATCCTGAACTCCTTTGAGACCTACGTGTACCTTGCAGGAGCCCTTGCCATCGGCGTTTTGGCCATTGAGGTACTGCTGTGTGATTTAAAAAAAAAAAAAAATGCAGCGTCAGTAGATGGCCAGCAGTGAGGCAAACAGGCATGCACTCTCCCTTTGCAGGGAAAGCCATTCCTGCCAAAGCGTGAGCAAGTTATTAACTCGTGGTTTTGATTGCCTAGAGGGAGTGGGGTGCTTAGTCCCTTGGCATAAAAGGCAGAGAAGGAACCTGTGCTGCAAGCCTGCAGTGCCGCCTCGTGTCAGCCCAGCACAGAGCTCATGGCTGTACCACGCTGGCCACGGAGGCTCCTGGGACCCCACCACCTGCCCTAGGGCCTGATGGGATTACTGTCCTCACCCTAGGAGTATCCCAACAAGCTGACTGATGCGTTGCTTGGTTAACATGTTCAAACGGTGTTTTGCTTTAAAAGCCTCTGTTTAAGAGCCTGAAACTGCAGTGGTCCAAGAGCGTGTCTGTGCATCTCTGTCATCCAGCATTACCTGGCTCTTTGGTGATGTACGCTGAGGAGCCAGCAGTTTAGCAGTGAAGCCAGGTGGCTGCTGTAGCCACAGACAGCTCAGGGGGAAGGAGGGAAAGGCACAGCCTTCAAAAGGAGAAGCAGCAGTTTTCCCACAGCCTCCTCTCAGTGGTGGGAAGAGCCCCCCCCACCCAACAGTGTCAGACTGCTGTCAGGAGGGAGGGCGATGGTAACCCAAAGGCTGCGGGGAGCTTTGCCCTTCTTCTGGAAGATGCGACTGACTCTTGTGGTTCTCTGTTTTGTTTTTTTCTCCCCCTTCCCAGCTTTTCGCCATGATCTTTGCCATGTGCCTCTTCCGAGGGATCCAGTAGGCAGCAGCCTGTGAACAACCACATTGACCCCACGTGCTCAGAAGGAGGAAAATCAAAAGAAACAAAACCCGAAAACACCCAAAAACTTTATTTTTTTTAACAAAATGGGGTAGAGGGAAAAAAGGAGGAAAAAAAAAAAAGAGGGTTGTAATATATGAATGACCAAAAGGATTGTACTTCAGGGGCTGGAACTTTGAGGTGATGTGCACTACACTGTACACCGGACCCTTGCCCAGAGCTGCCTGCAACAGCCGTGGAGAAGTAGCCAAGCGCAGTCGATTGCACTAGAGACTGAAGGAGCCTGCCGGGGGGAGCGGGAGGAAGACCCACAGCTTCCTCTTCTGCATATCAGAGCAAGGCCCTGCCTACCATTCACGTTTTTATACCATTTTAGACCGCAAAGGCCGCAAAGGACTGAAGAACAGCAGCTGGGTAAGGCAGTATGTTGGCCAATGCGTATGACTTGCCCAAGTGGGTTTGAAACAAGTGGTAGTGGTAGATCATCTAAGAAATAGGCAGTTGTTGTTTGTGCGATTCTGGCTTTAAGTATGAATTCCCAGCCACAAAATAGAAATGCATTCATCAGCGGAAGCTGACTTCCCGGAGAAGTCAAACACTTCAGCAAGGCTGGCTTTTCTCTGGAGCCCCAAGGGGCAGAGGGGTCCCACTTAGAAATAGGACTCCTTTAAGACAGGCTGGCTGATGGTCAATAGTTTGGTGCATACCTTTCTGTTTTTGCTTAGATGTACTGTTCACTGTTGTGAAAAAGGAGAACAAGTGGTTCCCTGCTGTGTTCCCATTCCCCTGGGGAAAATAATGGGTCTAGTCAAGAGTAGTTGATGCTGCTGCCCTCCTGAGAAGTGGAGGAAATAGCGTTTAAATCTTCTCAGCTTTTGCCTTTCACCTCATCGTTGAAAAAAAAAAACATTTGTGGTGCTCTGCTGGCTTAAAGATTTGCAGTGGATTCCTACATGCTTTTCTGCCCCAAGGGGCGATCCAGGCATGATGCTGGGATGGAAGTGCTGAGATTTGTCACCAGCCCCCATGCTGTTTGCCTTAAACTGTTCTGTGGCATCATTTCTGCTCAGAGAGTTTCCCTTCAGGCCCCTGACAAAAACATCAAGTCAACTGTTCTAGTCCACCTGTTAGCTGGGACTTCCTCCCTCCCTTGAGACAGTTTGACATTTAACTAACATGTCACCCACTTACTCATTTAGAAATGAACTTGAGAAACATGCCTGGGACTGGACTTTGGTCACAAATTAAGATGGAACTGAGGCCCCCCAGGTAGGGTCTAAGCGCACTTAGTGTGCAGCCAAACCGCTCGAGCTGCTTCTCTGGTGGTGGCAATCGACCCTAGCAGGGCATCAGTTTCTCTCATCTGGAAGCCTCAACGCCCTCTGTGTTAATTGTTCATCTGCTCAATCCCTGACCCCAAACTCATTTTGCCTGGGGGAGGGCAGAAGGGGCTGCAGTTTCCTCGTTTAGCTTAGGTCTTTTTACAGCCTCCAACTACGGAGCACTTTTATATAGGGTTAAACTGGCCCCTCTGGGAGCTGTGACCACTGGCAATGAAGGAGAGGGTGGAGGAGGCAGCAGTGCAGAGATGGGAGCAGTAACCTCCAGCCCCAGCTTGGCAGCAGCAGGGACTTTGGCTGTTCCTTGACAGCACTGGCTCTGTGGCCTCTGAGCTTTCCCAAGGACACTGTGCAGATGAGTGAACCTACTATGAGGAAGGAAGGAAGCCAGCAAAAAGACTAAGGATTAGTCTTAGCCAGGATCCTGGCTAAATGTCCAGGCTGGCAAATCAAGATACTAAGGAACAGGAAGGAGAGCTTTTCAAAGCTTTGTTTGAGAACAATTTGTTCATCGGTAGGTGAAGGGGCCCAGACAAGTAGAGCAGCCGCACCCCAAAACTGCAGTCAGCATATTCCAGCGCTGGAATTTGAGGCCAGGACTGTTGAGTGGCCTCAGATATTGCATTAAACCTTGTGGAAAGCTTTTCTGAACAGGTTCCCTCTGGACCCATTTTTAATGATGCATTTTAGCATTAAATTCTGCTCTGTTGTTTAATGAAGGAAAACAGTTTTGCTGGCCAAGTGCTGCTCTTAAGAGAGGAAAAAAAATCTGTTGCATCTACTAGTCTTACAGGGAATGGGCCACTGCACTGGAGCCAGACTCCAGCAGAAGGACATCTCATCTGTTCTGGGTCTGCCTCAGGAGCTGGTGTCAGTGACTGCTCTGGGAGAGCAACTGCCAGGGGAGGAAGAAAACCATGACCACAGGTGTTAATTTGGATGGAGGTGAGCAAGAGGAGCAGAACTGCCATCCTTTCCCCCTCCCCTTGTCTCCATTTTTTTTCCTTTTACCCTCAGTCTCTTGTGAAAAGTTCTGGCGCCTCTGGTCAGGGCTTGGAGGGAGAAAGCCCCGTTTTCTTCAGGGTGGCTGGGTTGAAGACAAAAAAGCCCTTTTCCCCACCCAGTGGCACTGGGGAAATAACTATCAGAGCTGGGGGCGCTGACCAGGGCAGTCAGAGTACTAAGTGATAAATAGGCTAGACTGAAATAGGATCTCTGCATGCTTATTTCTCTTTGGCTTTCCCAGTTCTATACTGTTTTGTCTGTTTTTAGCTCCTTTACTTTTCCTTTCCCCCCTAATGGCTCCATTTCACCCTGTATCTTCAACAGCTCCCTTGTTCTTCTGTTATTCTGGCCATTGTGCTTTTTTTTCTTTTTTTCTTCTCTCTCTCTCTCTCTTACCTTGTATGATCCCTCAATGCTCTTTTTCTGGATGAAGACTTCAAATCCTCTCTGCAGTTGGCTAGCATACCACTGGGAACACGGCTTGAAACCAAAGCAAAGGCCAGGCAACACATTTTAAACAAGAAATGGAGAGAGCTGTAAAGATAAGTGGAAGTTGGAGAGGTCCTGTGGAACTAGGTAACAGGCAGAAAAAATTTCCCCTAAGGGATTTTAATGAATAAGCAAGCCCAGAAGGTGGACTCCTGGGGTATGGCAAGGCATGTAAATTTAGTTTTGTCCAGTAGTTATGTGGCCACCCCCTCTGTTGTTCAGTAGACAATTCTGTGTTTTTCTCTTTTCAGAACAGTAGGCAGGAGAAGCAACTGTATTTTTGTATTTAACAGCTCTGGCATGTTCTTTTGAGTCAGAGGCTCAGGCTAAAGTCACTGCTTGCTGGAGAGCTCTGGGCAGGCCGGGGACCAGAGGGAGCTGCCGTGCTGTCAGTTCCTTTGCTGCATGTAGCACTGTGACTGCAGCCCATGCACCTTGGATGTAATTATTAGAGAGCAGTCTGTGGCTGTAAGCCAAAAGCCCCTCGCTGCACCCCTGCCTCCTAGCTGTTATTTAAGGCTCAAATGACTGTCACAAATGCCTGGGAAAAGGGCTGCGTGTGAAAAAAATGTTTGAAATCTATTTTAAAAAACTGTAAATGTTCTTTTTATTAGATAGTGGAGCTAATTTATCCTGTATTCCCTACTGTAATGCTTTTTTATAATGAAAGGAATTTTTTTTTGGTAATATAAGCCAGAACACAAGTCTGAAGCACTCTCTGCACGTTTTTTTTGTGTGCGTTTCTTAAGAAAATAAAAAATAAAAGAAAGATATTGTGACAGTGAAGTGAAATGGCTTTAATTTTCACTATTTGTTTGGTGTTTAAGTACAGTCACTTTCTTACCAGAGGAGGAAGAAGAAACTCAGGTACAGCAGCTAAAATGAGGTATAAACTGAAGTGTATTGTCATTTCCACCCTCCCCCCTCCCCAACCACCCCTCAAGTAAAAAAACACGAGACCAGAGGCTACCTTAGGACAGCTAGAGCCTCTCTTTTGTCACCAGCTCCAGTTTGTCAGATATTGGTATATAGGCCTAAATAAGGCTAAATAAGGCTATGTCGAGGGTTATGTGACTGACCAGCTTGCTTCACCCTCAAAGGCGAGGGCTCTACAAATGCAAGGGTTCGGGTCGGCCTACTGCAGAGAAAAGGGGTCAGCCTCAGTCCTGGCCTGTGCTTGTTTGGGGCACAGCCTTTTGGGGAAATGTGGCTTTCCATAAATGCAAGTAGGTAATTCTTTGCAAAATTGCCTCCCACGGGAGAGGACAGCAGTCCATGATCTTCCCCACAGTTTAACAGATGAGGAAACTGAGACCTATGGAGATGAAGGGATTTTTCTCACAGCAGATCAGTACCTGAGCCTGAAGAGATGCCTCAGGCTTTTGATCCCAATTTATATGCTCAGCTACCACCTGCAGCTGTGTTCCCAACCCTTCCATCCTTAGAAACCTTCCCCATCCATGGCCAAGTGAAGACAGACCCACAGCTGGTTTCTGGCACTGCTGCAGGTACTCTGCCTCAGCTCCAGCCTCAAGCAGCTTGAGAACACCCTCCCCACCCTCACCTGCTACGAATCCACCTCCTCCGGCTGCCTGGGCCTTGTTTCATCAGTGAGGTACTGCTGGAGGAGAGGGACAATGCCAGGGACCAAAACCTTCCTGTAGCAGTTGCCAGGCAAGGCATTTGCCCCTTCCTTCTTTGTAAGAGATGGTCCTGGACCTATCAGCCCCACTCCATTTCTACACAGTTTATAAAAAAACACTCCTATTAAGCTGTTAAACTGTTAAGCTGTTAAACACTCCTGCAAGCTGCAGCAACAAGCAGGAAAAACAAGCAAACTTCATCTCTTCACTTTTGCGGCTAAGCCCTGACTAGCATCAAATCTCTTGGAGACCACCCCCAGGCTCTGTTCTGTGTTGGAACAGAAGACATCAGATGACAAAACTAGCAGTAGCATCAGCTAGAGGTGGCTGACTGTTTTGCAGAGACAGCTGCTAAGCAGGGGACCAAAGAGGAATCTGACCTCACTTGCTTGAAAACTCCTTTAGAACGACTTAAACTCTTACCCCACCCTGCGCCTCTTGCTTCACCTTTAACAATACACTCCCCCTGTTTTTAATGAGGCTTCAGAGAAGTGTTCTCCCGCAGTGTGATAACATGTGTCTCTCACCTCCTGAGAAGCACTTTAAGGGTACCTAATCAGTCAGCCACCTACAGATTCAAAGTCACGGCATAAATAATAAGGTCCTAGGATGGAAAAAAGGGCATCCTTAAGATGACCCTCCATTTCCTTTCTCTACAAGCCTACCTTTGCAATGGTCAGTTTAAGCTTTCCTCAGAAACAGTTTCCTCTCTGCCCCTCCCACCACCGCCCTGAGTCCAACACCACTTAACAATCTGTGAACACATTTGCCTGACAACCCCTCCCCCAAAAACAAAGACTCAAGCATCACTTACCTATACCAACAACTACAGCTGAAGCGCTGCATTGAAGCTGTGCACAACTGTGCCATTGCAGCTGCCCATGCATCTGGTGCAACGTAAGCAAGCACCACAGCCTGCCACCTTCCAGCTCCCCATGCAGCACAGGTTGCTTTGGTTTGTACTCATCTCTAGGCTGCACTTGACCATTTCCTGACTCTCAGAGAATAATTAAGTTCCCCTCCTAGAGCCTGAGTCTTCCACCGAAACAGGTAGGCCCATCTTAAAGATTAATATTAGTTGCGCTCTGTCATACTTTGGACACGCTGAAAGCAGCTTGATAGGCATGTGTGAGGTGGCTCTAGAATTTAGCCTGCTGTTGAATGTTGCCTCTGCACCAGATTCAGTTCTTAAAAACAAAACAAACAAACAAAAAATTAATTTAAAAAAGTTACAATTGCAATACTTCTTGGTTCAAGTATGGTCAATATTCCCACCTGACATACATTTCTGCATGACCAACAGCTGCAATGCACAGTGTCCTAAATTTATGCAGCTTCTTCTAAATGCTAAGAGCACTAACAAACATACAGTACCCACTAGCTACCCACTAACTAGTCTAAGATACTAAGTAACAATAGCCCTAGATCCCAATGTCATCAGTTGCTTGAAGTCTGTTGTTCACTCAAGCAGTTCTGTCTAGCCATCATTCTACTGGGATTATTGGGAAGTCAGTCTCCTCCTGGGCACACTTTGATCCAGCCAATGATAGTGCATGACTGACGAGGTCCAACTCCTATACACAGGCCATCTGAGTTTAGTCCCACAGAGAACGTGACTACAGCCTGCAACTATAGACAGGAAAAAAACCTGCATGGAAAGAGCTAGGAAAAGGGGAAACCAATGCCAGCAACTCCGACAGGCACTGCGGGAACTGGCCAACACGTACTAATGTACGTTTAGGTGGGTCATGATTGATCTGGAGAAGGTAATAATGCCTTTGCACAATTGCCTCCTTGCCCTTCTTCATCCCAGCTAAGTAGTATCTTAAATATCTAGAATGTCAAACTTTGGTCCTTTCTCCCCCAAGTCAAAGGAAGTGTAATGCCTGTACATTAGCTGAGCTAGAACATGTCTCCCACACCTGGGCCTCATCTCACCAGAAGCTTCATGCCACTCCCACACTGGTGCTCACACCTTGCTCCCTATTGCTAGCCACAGCAAGTTAAACACACAGCCCCTGAGTTAGCTAACACATTAGGTGCTCTACATCACAGCTACCACTACTGCTATCACCAGGGAAGCTGCTCTTGTAGGAAACATGATGGGGTGAAGGGGACAGGAGCCCAGCTTAGAAACTGCATGAAACATCCCAAACAAGGAGATTTCATCATGCTCAGCAGGCTGTTTTCCCGATAACTTCCTTCACTTCTTTCCTATTACAAACAAACAAACAAACAAACAAAAAAGCTCCAGCGCTCCCAGTGCTATCCCTGTGACGAGAACAAGGAAGGAGTCTTCCTCTTCTTTTGCCATATCTCCTGCCAAGCTCTGCACAGCATCCAGTGCAAAAATAAACACAGGGGTGGTGGCACCTCTGGCAGCGAGGACAGAACAGCGGTTTGTGATTCCAAAATGCAGCACTGAACTAGAACTAACCCCAGCCAACTCCCAGGTACCTGAACTGTACTTGCTAAAAGAGGAACTTGCTGTAAATGTGAGGATGCTCTTAACAGGCAGGTGCAAGACTTACCAAGGGGAGTAGCCGAATCCTTCACTGGTTGCCTTAACTCCCTTTCTCTTCAGGGATTTGGTTTCGATGTGCTGTTCATATTTTGTGCTTTGTTCAAAGGCTTCAGAGCCTGTGATCCCATCAGCCGGTTTCCCCTGGGAAACCGGCTCTTTTCCCTGAGCCTGCCAGGCCTGTACACCTCCCTGAGCCTTCCTCACACTGTTTGCTTGTTTCCTCCAGAAGGGCTGGTGGGGGGACCTGCATGACACAGCTCTCCTCACACTTCATCTGGTAATACCACTAGCACCAGGTTACACGCTGATTCATGCCGGTAAGTGGAAAAGAAGGAAACCACTTTAGAACAAAAAGGAACTAACAAAAAAAAGTTATAATTATAATGCAAAATTACCGACACAAACCCTCCCACCCCACCCTTCCCCTAACAGAAAGCCCAGGCATTAGACTTTCTTGGGACGGCGTCCAACTTGGTAATAATAATAAATGCTGATGAGGATGAAGAGAGCTCGGCTGACCAGGAGGAGCACGGCACCTGTGGCTATCCGGCTACTCTCAACCAGGGAGACAGTGGTAACTGGAGGAGAAGGAGGGAGAAAAGGCAGAGGTTGGTGATTAAAAATAAATGGAATCCAAGTAGTACATAGCTGTTTTCTACTGCCCTCTAACGTAGCTCATTAGAGAGACCTGCTGAGGTTTGTGAAATGCAAGAGCTTTCGCTGCAGACCCACCAGTCCCACACTCAGCAAAACTGTGAAAGGGGCTCTTAAATAGCTTGATTTTTACAGCCTTAAAATTAGCCACAGCTCCATGGTCCACAAAGCTCGCATTTATAGAACCACATCTTTAAAAGCAACTTTATACTCAGGCAGCCAGCCTGAAACAGTAACTCGAACAGATGCGAGTTTCCATCTTGCCCAGGTGTTAATTGGGAAATCTGCAGTTCATAAATTTTTGCTTTGGGGGTTAACCACTTCAGTGCTGATATACATTTTTCAAATGTAGAAGCATCTTTAAGATGTGCTTATTCTGCACAGGCTGCTGATTTTCTGAACGCCTTGGTTTTTTGTTACTAACACATATCCCATACCTAATCCAGCTACCTTCCAGTACAGTTAATGCATTGCCAATGGACACATACATGCACAAAAACCCCCTTCATGGTTAAACAGAAAATACTAGGCTAACAGAAAGGCAAGTCCCCTAGAAAGAACCTAAACCATTAGCCTCCGTTTTGGTAAGACTAATGGTCCCCTTAGCCAGAGATAAGCAGCCAGCTACACAAGGTGGCCTGAGCTGGCTCTAAAGCCCAGGACGTTTTGGGCAAGAAAAGGAAGATATTGGCAGAAGCCTGTGTTTCTCTTGCACCAGTGCTCCCTTTGGCGGGCAGCACAAATTGCCGCCTGTCCCGTGCGGAAGGGCATGGGAGAACGGTGGGCGGGAGGCGAACTGTGGGGTGGGTGCTCTGCCAGGACTGCGGAGCGGAGGAGCCCTGCCGGGCGCTGGCCGGACCGCAGCAGCGGGACCCCGGGGACCAGGGTGCGTGACTGGTGTCTCAGCCAGCCACAGCTGGCTTCTGCCCTGCTGCAAAAGCAGGAGGCAGCTGAGCCCGCTGCGACGCCCCCGGGGCCTCATCTCCCAACTCCTCAGGCCAGCGTAAGCCTCGAGTTTCCTCCACCAAACCCTAGGGAGTCACAGCAAGGTTT